AAATAAATATAAATAAAAAATATTATATATCCTTAGCTCAACGAGCCGGCTCGTTCAGATCAGAAAACTGGCGAGCGATCTGAGCCAAGGTTTTTCTGGCTCGTTAGAAAACGAGCATAACGAGCTGAGCCCAAAACGATCCGAGCCAAATGAGCCGAGTCCAAAATGATCTGAGCTGGCTCGTTTGATACCCCTAGTCATCACCGTTGGAGTGAATGGAGATCAGCACAATGAAGATCAACACAAATCATGGTTCCCTCAATTCAAGATGGTAGTCACGTTTAGGCTTTAGCGGATTAAACCGTTGTGACTTTATTTTGTTTCATTTCTTTATATTTTTTTCTATTTCCTTTTATTTTCAAGCTTCTTCTTTATTCTTACAGATTATACATTTAGGATATGAATAAAATACACAAAGTCGAACTTTAAAAGACCCAAATAATCTACATATATATATATATATATATATATATTATAACTATACATACATATTTCGAATTTCGATTGTGTCGAGAAATTATTTTTGGATATCATTTTTCAAAGATTAACTCCATTCAGTTTTCTAAGTCTATTTTTAATTTGAATAATGTTCAATTCAAACTCAATTTTTTATTAATAAAAGTACCTTTTTAGAAATACATTTTTGTAATTTATTTATATTCTAATCCAAACAAGTAAGATTTCACGTTTTAATTAATTTGATATTAAAAAATAATATACAATTGATATTGATATCAGATTTGAATAATTTATTTACATATATTTGATTGGGTTAGATTAAAAGTGTACTCAACCTAAAATGAATATCAAACACAAATATAATCAAGAAACTAATTCCATTTTGACATTTGGAGCACATTCCTCCCACGACTTCGACCCTAACATGTTAGCAATAATGTTCTCGAACATGCTCTCACGTCTACTTAGTTGCAGCCAACAAATTGGGTTCTCAACGACGGCTATATATAAGGCCAACACTAACACCATTCTCTACAACACAACACAAAACACAAAAAAAACAAAACAATGGGTTCTTCCCCTAAGATGGGGAGATCGCCCCTTCTTGTTTATGCTCTTGCCATAACTGTCATGGCCGCAACTATCGCAGCCTCTGAGCCATACACTTATTCTTCTCCACCACCACCCGAATACTCACCTTCGCCTAAAGAAAGTTATGAATCTCCACCACCCCCATACATCTACAAATCTCCCCCACCACCGCCATACTATTCGCCTGCTCCTAAGACAGAGTACAAATCTCCTCCACCTCCATACGCTTACAGTTCTCCACCACCACCGCCATCATACTCACCTTCACCCAAGGTTGAGTATAAGTCTCCACCACCCCCATACGTCTACAAATCTCCTCCACCACCACCATACTCCTCACCTTCTCCAAAGGTAGAGTACAAGTCTCCACCACTGCCATATGTCTACAGTTCTCCACCACCGCCGTCATACTACTCACCTTATTTAGAGCACAAAAAACATACTCCATAAACGTAACTTACTTCAAATAAAACATAGATAGCAATGCACAAAATATTTCAAAACAACATAGACATTAACATGCATATCCAAATTTGGGTAGTTCACTCGGTTTAGTTTATAAGCTTTGTAATATTTATGACTTTTCGTATCTATAAATCTCCTCCACCACCGCCGTACTACTCACCATCGCCAAAGGTCGAGTATAAGTCTCCTCCACCACCATACGTTTACAGTTCTCCACCACCACCGCCTTACTACTCACCTTCACCCAAGATTGAGTACAAGTCTTCACCACCCCCGTACGTTTACAGTTCTCCACCACCACCACCTTACTACTCACCTTCACCCAAGGTTGAGTACAAGTCTCCACCACCCCCATACGTTTACAAATCTCCCCCACCACCACCATACTACTCACCTTCACCCAAGGTTGAGTACAAATCTCCACCACCCCCATATGTTTACAATTCACCCCCACCACCATCTTACTACTCACCTTCACCCAAGGTTGAGTACAAGTCTCCACCACCACCATATGTCTACAAATCTCCACCACCGCCTTACTACTCACCTTCTCCAAAGGTACAATACAAGTCTCCTCCACCCCCATACGTCTATAGTTCTCCACCACCACCGCCTTACTACTCACCTTCGCCCAAGGTTGAGTACAAGTCTTCACCACCCCCGTACGTTTATAGTTCTCCACCACCACCGCCTTACAACTCACCTTCACCCAAGGTTGAGTACAAGTCTCCACCACCGCCATATGTCTACAATTCTCCTTCACCGCCGTACTACTCACCTTCGCCAAAGGTTGAGTATACGTCTCCTCCACCCCCGTATGTTTACAGTTATCCACCACCACCGCCCCCCACCACCTTACTACTCCCCTTCACCCAAACTTGAGTACAAGCCCCCCCCCCCGCCATATGTCTACAAATCTCCTCCACCACCGTCGTACTACTCACCTTCGCCAAAGGTTGAGTACAAGTCTCCTCCACTCCCATACGTTTACAGTTCTCCACCACCACCAACTTACTACTCACCTTCTCCAAAGATTGAGTACAAATCTCCACCATCGCCATACGTCTACAAATCTCCTCCACCCCCGATAGTTCTCCACCACCACCGCCTTACAACTCACCTTCACCCAAGGTTGAGTACAAGTCTCCACCATCGCCATACGTCTACAAATCCCCCCCACCCCCGCCATACTACTCACCTTCGCCCAAGGTTGAGTACAAGTCTCCTCCACCCCCATACGTCTACAGTTCTCCCCCTCCACCACCATATTATTCTCCTTCCCCAAAAGTCCACTATAAATCTCCATCATACCCACACGTTTGTTGTGCACCCCCACCTCCACCGTGTTACTCTCCATCTCCGAAAATTATATATAAGTCTCCACCATCATATGTATACAAATCCCCCCCTCCACCACCATATTATTCTCCTTCTCCCAAGGCAGAGTACAAATCTCATCCACATCCATACAAGTATAGCTCTCCACCTCTTTCACCGTATTACTCACCATCTCCAAAGATTGAGTACAAATCTCCTCCTCCACCATATGTATACACTTCTCCACCACCTCCACCTTACTATTCGCCAGCCCCTAAAGCCGAGTACAAGTCTCCTCCACCCCCATACGTCTACACATCTCCACCTCCACCACCATATTACTCTCCTTCTCCAAAGACTGAGTACAAATCTCCTACACCTTCGTACTACTAAAGTCCACTGAATGCCATTAATATTTGATCGATGAGATTTCATTGAAGTTCTATTCTTCGAATCCCTCTTAATTTCTATGAATTATAAATTCAGTTGGTCGAATTACCAATTTGTTAGTCTTTATATGACTATCTTTGACATTTCGAATGTAAGAAGTCTATATGCTTTGTTGTTATTCATCTTTTGTATTCTTCATTTTGATGCATTGAATAACCATGTAATTTTCTTGTTCGTGGGCTCCATGTATTTCATTATTATTGATGGAATGAGAGTGTTGATTTTATGAAGTTGATGATGTGTTAGCTTTACAATATTTTAGCCCAACTTCTACATTTTGCATGCAAATTTTAGAATTTACATCTCAAAATATACTTTTGGTATTCATATTCTCTACTTTCTATGTTTTTTTGCAAACACATGGTGTGGCCTGTGATTACAAGGACACAATTCTAATCTAGAAGTCCGAACATCCAAGAAACAACCAGAAGAAAATTATGCAAGGATTGGAGATTAAGAGAACAATGCAGATGACCCTAAAACATAACAATACAAAAAAATGAGGCAGAGGTTCACAAAATTAGGAGAAGGTTTATTTTAGTATTTAGGATTATAAAGGAAAGAGAAAATCTCGAAAGAAAATCATTGAACTTTTAGATAACTATTAGAATCATATTAAACCTTTTCTATTTTCAAATTCATATTAAACTTTCAAAATTTGACAAAAAATACTCATTTTTTAAATTTTTGTAAAAATATGATCGCTACAAACGTCGTTAAAAATATTAACGGTTAACTTTAACATGATATTTTTGATTCCGTCACATAGGTTACCACATCGTTAAATAAAATTAAAAAATAATTGTTAATAAAATTTAAACAACAACAACAACAAAAAAGAATCTCAAGAAAATACTCAGTTTTACCAAAACTTTCAAATTAAATGTTAATTTTTTAATCATAACAATAAATGTGAACTTGTAACAAACTTCTAAATAAAAACTTAACCTTTAACAAACTTATATATAAAAGCTCAACTATTAAAATTTGATACGATGTTAACAATGTATTGTGTGGCGCTTGACATGGTCTGCCACGCCACACATTTTTTCCACGTCATAACACAAAATAAAAATTGAAAATATATTAAAATAATAAAATAAAAAATAAAATCACATACATATGGATCATATACACATACAAACATACATACATGTATACACATATACAGATATAATAGACATACATATATACATGTGTGTGATTGTATGTATGTGCGTATGTGTAACAATGTCAGAACTATTATTAACCATTATCTTAGTTGATTTTTCGAAACCCATTTTTAGATCAAACAACATCTTCCTGAGCCTATAGCATGGTATGCAGAGGTTGTGGCTACAATAAAGTTTGATTCAACAATTGATTGAGCGACAATCTCCTACTTATTTGAGCTCCACTATAAAATCTCAGTTAGTGATAATGGTGGAGAATGATCACCAACAGAAAGGACGAGAGGCGACTCCTAGTAGACCTCTAGGTAGGAGGAATATGTGGACGAATTGAATGCATCGAGATATGAGGGATCCGAGGACAATGTATGTTTGAGATTACACAATCAACGATAATTTACAAGAATTGATTAAACTACCCATAACAACAAGATGCATCTACCATTTTGTTTGTTTATCTAAAGAAAACTCCAAAGTTAAGTGTGGTAGACTTGGAATAATCTTATGGTGGGTAATCCCATTTGAAATACTTCTCGGAAAGTGTGCGATTGAGGATAAATCACGTTGAAAGGTCTCATGTTAGACAGTGAAGGTATTTTCAACGTGCATAACATTCGCGGGGCGTTACAAATGGTATCAGAGTCTGCCTTCCAATACGATATGGTTTGAGGACGAAGCAAACAGAAGTTGGTGGACATGTGATATCCCAGTTACTGATGAGGACCTAGAGTAATCGCCGGTGCAGGATGTATGAAAAGAAATGGCTCCTGGTAGACTTCTAGGAATCAAACCCACCCGAATGAGAGAAATTCGAGGGCTGTGTATGTATGAGACTACACAATCAACGATAATTTAAATGGAATTGAATGTGTGTTGCATTCTTCTGGATAGGTGCTTCGGATTCTACTAAAGGGGTTGAAGGTGGCATGGCATACAGTTTTTGCTTCTAAGGCTGCAAGTGGGTTGGGACTCAAGAGGATCAACAACTGGAACACAACTTTGGGGCTCAAACTAATTTGGTTATTAATTACAAATGGATGTTTTCTTTGGGTGGCATGGGTGCAGAAAAACTTGATAGGGAAAAATCATTTCGGGACCTGAATCCTAGGGGCAAAGGAAACTGGTTATGGCACAAATTGCTCAAGCTCAAAAGTTTAGCAAGGCCTTTTTGTTGGGATTCCTGGGATATCTACAACGAATCTATTTCCTAAGATATCAGTTCTAGAGTTTGCGCAGCGGATGTAAAACAAAAATTTTTTTAATAAACCCTAAAACCAAGCATGCATGATTTCGTAGAAACGTTAAAACGCTTACCTCAATCGATCCGGGGTCTGTATCAATTGATGTGTTCATCCGATCACAAAAGGGAGGAAGATTACCTCGCCCTCTATACGTATCCACATCTCGGGATTGATTCCAACGATTGGAACTTGTCTGCTAGGACCCGAATCTGTTATTCGATAATGTGCTACAAGAAAACGGGATTCAGATCACTTCTCAGATCCTCAAGTCTCACCAAAAAGTCTGTGAAAGCTCTCTTGTTTGTCCCCTACTTATTAGGGTTCTTAATCTCCTTCTTATAAAGTGATTAACTCTAATTTTGGTTTAATTTCAAAAAACCCGAAAGCCGAAACGGACGGTCCAGATTTGAACGTGGACCGTCCGTTCCAGCATTCCGGAACGGACGGTCTAGGTTATGCTCCCAGACATTCTGGAACGGACAGACTCCCACCCACTGGACCGTCGGGTCTGGACTTGCTGGACCGTCCGGTCCAGACCTCCTTTTTCGGTTTTTTGTCTTTTTCTCGTGCATTTGTCCTTTCCTGCGTGTGACCCTGTAGGCTCATTCGATATAGCAGTATATACAAAATCTCCATTTTGGGTATACAAGTCATAGACGGTCTCTAGCAAGACACTATGACTACCTATCTCGAATAGAGTTTGTTCGTGATCTTACGAACGTCAGTGATGATTTCGATTGATGATTTTTTTGTATCACGATATCATATGTCGAACATAAGGTATGGAAAAGCCACCTTATCTGATTCGACTGTTTTCTCGTTCACGGAGTTCGATTGTACGAAATAGACAATGTTCGTCTATAGTGTGGCCACACATTTCTACAGTCTCGCTCACATGAGGGACCCAGCGATATCTCTCTTTTACCAGAGGTACAAATCCCATCTTCACTACCTACAATCTAGCACATGATTCGTGTCGTACTTGATACACGCCTTTATAGTCCTCCTGTTACGCAGGATGTTTGGCGTATTCAAAGCACTCAACTCCTCATGTTGGATTCCGTAGATATCTCAGGTCATAGGATCCAATCATGGAACCGTCACATGAGATTCAAGTCATGACGCTTGTCCATGTGACAATCTCATGCGGGTCATTCCAGTATTCCGTTCTCCAACGAATATCTATGATTGTGATCGTATCCAATACCCATGATCATCTTTATGATCATCTATCACACATCATACTAGTCTTAGTACATCATTGTTCCCACAATGATATATGACTAAGGAGTTTAGTATTGTTCATAACAATACATGGATTTCATAACATATTAAAGTATGCACAATACATAATGAATCAAACACTCATCCATATAACCATAGTAAGTGTCAATACATCAAATGTATCATAATAAAGCTCATACAACAGTACATCATAGAGCACTAGACCAACATTTTTATCCGTTGTTGAGTGGGGAATGATGCAATATGCAAATTCTGGTTGGATACATGGCTACCGCAATGACCTCTAATCCACACAATTGGTGAGCTAGGACCGAGACAACTAGCCATTGAACGAAAATCAACAGTCAGTGAAGTGTGTAATGCACAAGGATGACTCATTCCGCCTGCAAGGTCAGCAACGACATAGGACCTGCATCGGGCACTGACTAGCCTACCTCTGCCTGTAGGAACACTCACTCAAGACGCATTTTTACTGGTCCCACACTCATCTACTCTACAATCACAAGCCTTTCTCCCCCAACCGTGCTTGGAAGCTTACACATGCGAACCTTCCACTGGTCAGCTAGAGGAAGGTAATTTGGTTTATGGGAAAAATACCTGAAAATTTTTGAATTTGTAATTTGGTATGATATTAATTTCTGAACTTGTAGGTGCGTCTATTTATTCCCAACTTGTATTTTTTAACACAGTAATTTCTCAACTTGCTTAACAGTTCCATAATCGTCCATACCAGTAATTGACCAAAGCAAATTTAGGATTTACTGTATTCAAAAATGCAAGTTTAGGAATTACTGTGTTCAAAAATGCAAGTTCGGGAATAAATAGACGCACCTACAAATTTAGAAATTAATATTACACCAAATTACAAGTTGAGAAATTTTCAAGTACTTTTCCCTTTGGTTTACTCATTCAATTCCCAAATACTCGTTCATTTCATGGTTAATTAGCTGCCAAGAACAAGTTGTCGACTCGAAAAGGCTATTGGCTTGGAATCAGTTAATTACTTGTTCTTTGCTTGCCAATACACATATACCATATGCATATGGATATCTCTACTCAGCCAATCGACTCTGCGCTTTCAGCCGCTCAGCTCGTTCTCAGAGATCCTCACATGGCTAAGGACCTGCACGACAGAATTCAGGCTCAAATTCCAACCGGCAATCCGTTGAAAATGGCCGAAAATCCGTTGGAAATCCATATTTCCAACGGAAAAATCCATTGAAAAAACGTCGTTGGAAATTGGATTCCATTGGAAGCCGCTGCAATTTTCGACGACATTACAACAGAGTTATCCATTGGAATTTTTCAATGGAACTGCAACGGTCGTATCCGTTGGAATAATTGCAACGGATTTTCAACGTAAAAGTCGTTAATAATTTATTACGAAAATCCGTTGGAAAATGTCGTTAGAAATTTGCAACGGATATTCCAACGGATATCCGTTGATAATACGTTGGAAAGCTCATCGAAAATTACAACGGGGTATTGCAATGGATATCCATTGTAATTATTTGCAACGGACTTCCAACGGGCTTTCTTGCAATTTCCAACGGCCAAACATTGGAAGTCAACGCA